GAATGGAGCCAGGGAAAAACGAGCACTTGGAAGCATCAAGTGGTGCAGCCTCACCAAAGTCACGAAAGATAGTCGAGTGGCGCATCGCCTATTGCCATACCAACACTTCTCTTCCATTACTACCCCAACTCGACTACAGCGGTACAGGGAGAGGAATCTCCTCTAGCCACAGCCCACTAACACACATCCAACGTGGCTCGATATCATCAGGCGACCTTTCGACACTTGGTTATGGCCTTTGAGTTTGGTGAAAAATGAGGAAAGAAGAAATAGAAAAAACATTCGAAATAATAATCTAATAATTTTATACTTACTCTGGTAAGGGTACTACCAGAAAATATTGTAGGTATACTGCACTTTTTCAAAGTGGTGCAGTTCTCATGTCTAATAAAACGTCTGTGAAATGTTTGGAACTAATATGATCATTTTGATTCGGACGCCAATCCGCAATATTTATGCTTTTAAGCCATAATTTTAGTCTAGGTTCAGTTGGAAACTTGTTATTTAATAAACATTTGATAATCATCTGTTGTTGGCGACTTTGTTTGTTAGCAGATATGGTTAGGAAAGAACATCGATAAGTATTATAGACAAGGAACTCGACAACCCTATTGAATTCTACTGTTTATCAAAACTCAGTAATATACAGTCAAACATGTTGGTATATATGATATTAAGATTAGTAGCAAATTTTTAAGTACTTATATTATCAAATAGTTTTAATTTGTTTAATATTTGCTGCAAATTAACTTACTTGTGGAATGTTATACCACTTCCCTTTTGGTAACGAGTTTTACAGATTACGCACACTCTTATTAATAAAAATAATTCTTATTATGTAACTAATATTATACACAATCAAACAACATAAAATAATTTCCTTTTTTAGTTTAAAAGTTCAAAATACAGACTTATTAAATAAGACAATGGGTATGTTCCGAAATACAACGCAGTGTACTGTCCAATGGAAATGACGTCATGAATCGACGCTATACTGGTGATTCGTTCCAAAACATTGGACAGTACATGACGTCATACATTTGCGCCATTTGGAAAAAGTGTTGGCGATTATTTTGTCATTTGTGCTCCAAAAATCATGAATAAATAAAAACAAATTCTGGCATACTTCATTCAGCGCACACACAATTAAAAATTGTTTTATTGTGGCCGGATATCCGACGCAATATGGCGGCAGCACGCCAGTACAATATAGTGTCAATTGATGACGTCATTTGCATTTGCCAGTGTACTGGGTTGTATTTCGGAACATACCCAATATAAATAAGACAACAGACTTTGGCATATTATGTCGTTCGCGGCCTTGCAGGCCGCGAGCCCTGAGACAAGATGAAGCTGTAAGAGTCGCATAGACTAACAGCACTAACATCAAGATAATAGAGCATATTATGTCAATTTTATTTTTCAAGACATCCTTTAGTGCGCTTCAAATTGGCACAGTCATTTTGTATGATATAGCCAGTCCAGCGTACTTGTATGTTGTATAGAGGTCAGTGATTAACGGACCAGATTAATAAAATCAAAGATAAATAGATATATAGATTAAAATATGCGTAGTATTCTCTTAGTAGTCTGTGATTACAACATCCCTGTTTCCTGTATTTATACTTTTTATCGTAGACAAAGAATGATAAAGACACCGGCAAAGTGACAAGTGAGTCGCAGAGAGACAAAAAAAAATACGTCTTACATTATAAAAAATACTTATTTTACGGAATTTTTACTGTCACGAACCTCAAGCTCGTAACAATATAGACATTAGACACCGACACCACAGAGGACACCGGCAATGCGTGTCGCAGAGAGACAAAAAAATACGTTAGGGTTACAAGTGTATGGAAAAATATATCCCACAACTAGTTATAACAATAGAAACTAGTACGTAAAGTAAGCCTAAAAAAGGAACACTGCTATTAACGATTATCATCGATAGGTATTGTAGTGGATGGAGAGCTAAGTGGACTGTATTTGACTAATTATTTATTATAATTTACTTTTGTGAAAAAAGAGAAACTAAAAAATTGTGATATTTATCTGACTAATAAACTTAAAGAAACTATTGTGTAATGAATGAGAGCTAAGTGGACTGTATTTATTTAGGTTGTGTTTTAATCTTGAAGAAAGAAGATACTGAACTAACTGTTACCAGCCCTCTGTCACTCTTGCTACCTGCGTGAAATTATTACCTACGAGGGTGGATTGAAAAGTACTCGGCCTAACCAAGAAAATAAACACATAATAATCAGTTATATTTTTATTTTTCTACATAATCACCATCAAGTTCAATACACTTTTGCCACCTCCACTTCCAAGCATTTAGACCGTTGAAAAAAATGATTCTTCCTTAGAGTCAAAATATGCGTCTACAGCTGCTTTGACCTCGTCGTTTGTCGAAAATCTTTGACCTCCTAAGTGCTTTTTTAGGTTAGGGAACAGAAAGAAGTCTGATGGTGCCAGATCAGGTGAATACGGCGGATGCGGTAACAGTTCAAAGCCACAGTTGTGAATTTCAGCCATTGACTGTACTGACGTGTGAACACGGGCGTTATCTTGATGAAACAGGACTTTTCTTCTGAGCATTCCTCGACGTTTTTCTTTTATTTCCTCTCGTAAACGACGTAGTAAGGTGCAGTAGTAATCAGAGTTTATAGTCTGACCCCTTTCAAGATAATCAATCATAATCACACCTTTCGAGTCCCAGAATACTGAAGCCATCACCTTATTTGCCGACAAAATCGACTTAGCCTTTTTTAGGGGGTAGTTAACCAGGTCTTCTCCACTGTTTTGATTGTTGTTTTGTTTCCGGTCTACAGTAATGAACCCATGTTTTGTCCATAGTAACAAAACGATTCAAAAAATCATCTGTATCGGCTTCAAATAACTCCAAACAGTCGCGTGAAATAGTCAATCGCGTCCTTTTTTGTTCAACTGAAAGCAGTCGTGGAACCCACCTCGCAGACACCTTGTGGAAACCCAACTCGTTGACAATGATGTTTTGAGTTCGTTCATAAGAGATGCCTATAATCTCGGCTATCTCTCTAATTTTTAATCTGCGGTCTCCCATTATTAAATCAAGTACTTTTTTAATATTTTCGTCAGTAGTTGACGTCGAAGGCCTTCCAGAGCGGGGTTCATCTTTCACACTCTCTCTACCACGCTTAAATTGTGCTATCCATTTTTTGACGGATGAATATGACAGAGCACAATCGCCTAATGTACTGACCATGTCATCATGGATGGCTTTTGATGATAGCCCCTTCTTATGGAAGTACTTAATGACGGCACGCTGCTCGATTTGCTCCATTCGCGGAAATTATGTCCGATTACTTTGTTAATAAATTTATAAAATCAAAACTAATTATCGCACACGTTTCGAACTTCACACAATGAACTAGTCTGAACTGAACTAAATAATGTGGGTAGATTTGATTTTTAGAATTGAATGGATCTGTGTTAGGCCGAGTACTTTTCAATCCACCCTTGTACAATCGCTAGGCACCCAGGGTAACATACGCAGTTACGCAGTCGGGGCTAGCTCGTTGTAGGGGATTGAATGTTCGTTTTGAATTTTTTTAACGCTGTTTACGTAAATAGTTTTTCGTAAATACTTGTTGAAATAGTTTTTATTTAACTTTTAGTATATTTAATTGTAACATAAAATAGATTAAAGTTTTAATGTAATTTAAAAATTATATATATTATGTATTTTACCTTTTTGATAAATTGTCAAAGAAAATCGTCGTTCCTACCATAATTGTTGCGTGGATGGATGCTAAATGCCCAACAAAAAGGTTTCAGATTTATAAAATTACCGAAGGATTTTTGAAGGAAGTTATGAAAGGTGAATTTATTAAATTTTTTGTCAGGTACTTATAGCAAAAACCTACGTACTTTATAACAAAACATAGTTGAAAGGAGAATGCTAGATTTACTATAGAACTTTGCTCCATCTAAAAGCATGGTGTACACGAATACCGTATGCAACATTTTTTGCCGCTTTATTACTTCATCCAAATTATATAATTTGGAGTCTCTAGAACTTGCGATTTTTTTTGAACTCGACTTTAATAATTACATTTACCTTACCTGGGTACCATTTACCTTAGAGAGCCAGTATAATTGATTGCAGGCAATTGTAATGCATTTCATCTTAGTCATTTGAAGCGACAAAGTATCTTAACGTAGTCCGCTTTGTTTGTGTGACTTACCGTCAGGCAGGATGTGATTTCGTTTGTCACTTCAGATTTTGCTAGTTCATTAGCCGCGTCCAGACCGGCTGAGAGCGGCTCGCGAGCCACTCTCAGACTTCCTGCTCGCGAGCCGTAGCACCCGAGCTAATTTGTGAAAAGTTCCGGCTCGCAAGCCAAGGTGAGCCGGTTTGAGCATTCAGTTTCTCTCCGTATAACGATGGAAAACCACGTATTTTTTTGCTGCTACGGCGCTTATGTTTTCTGGATATATCATAAAAAAAGAAAAGTGAAACGAAAACTCTGGATTAAAAAATTGTACCAAAACCGAAACCAATACGGTAACAGTTTGTTAAAGGAACTAACAATCGACCATTCAGTCTCAAATTTTACACACTCCTTAGTGGCTGTGAAAATACAAAGATGTGACACTAACTACAGAGAAGCAATAAATGTATCCGAAATAGTGTTGCTAACATTGAGATATTTGTCAACAGGATACTCCTATAGCAGTCTTCAATATCTTTTTTAGAGTATCGAAACAATCTATATTGTTAATATTATTTTATTTTAATAAAAAAAATATATCAACTATAGTTCCAGAAACGTGTGATGCAATTATAGACACCCTCAGTAATTACGTTAAGGTAAATAAAAATCATGGTAATTAAGCAATCAAATTATTTATTTATCTGCCTCATATTTAAATAACGGAGTTGTCACCAAAATTAAAGTCTGATGTTTCTGTAGTAGTAGCAGGAGTAAATTGTGTGTTCTGCAGATTTTCACCGGAAGTTATGGATGACGTGGTAGTGGGTGGTTGTGTGTAATATCCTGGTCTATACATCTTATATTTTCCCATGTCCGCTTCGTGAATAATAGTATTAATAGCATTTTTAACACATGATTGAGTGTAAGGATCGTATTTTCCATGAAGAATGATACACATGGATCATTTATGGAAGTTGAACTTTTCTCAATTATGGCAAAAGTGTCCTTCAATATATTATCAAGAGAATCATTTTGTGCATTCGTATTCAGCCGTCTTTTCTTTCGCGATGGTTGTGGCGATGGCGATGGTTCTTGTAGCGATGGCGTGGGTTCTTGTGGGGATGGCGTGGGTTCTTGTGGGGATGGCGTGGGTTGTTGTGGCGATGGCGTCGGTTGTTGTGATGGTCCTGGTTGTTGAGGATTGCTCTGTAAAAATAATGTTTATTTTGTTATTTGCAGACACCGTCCACAGAAGAAGAATGGCTAGCACTATCAAATGAATTCGAAATAAAATGGAACTTCCCACATGTTACAGGGGCTATGGACGGGAAACACGTAACTCTTCAAAGACCCATCAAATACTGATTACGACAACTACAAGAATTTTCCTAGCATAGTGCTCCTCGCTCTCGTGGATGCTAATTACAAATTCTTGTTTGTTAATGTCGGAAGTAAAGGGCGTATTTCCGACGTGGAGTTTTTAAAAATACGATTTTATATCGAAAATTAGAAAACTGTCAACTGAACATTCCTGAAGCGCAGATACTACAAATACCGTACATAATGAAAATACCATATTTCATATTGGGCAGCAAAGCTTTTGTGCTTACCAAATATACTATAAAACCATTTGAAGGTAATCCAGAGCCGGGTTCCAAAGAAAGTGTTTAATTACAGACTTAGCAGAGCTCGCAGAGTCGTTGAAAATGCCTTTGGTATTTTAAGTTCAGTCTACAGAGTCCTTAGGAAACCTATCCTCCTAGAGCCAGAAAAAGCTACAAAAGTTGTCTTAGCAACAGTGTATTTATATAATTACTTACGAAGAAATAACTATTCTATTCCACCAGAATATTATGATAGAGAAGTTGATGGTTCATTTATTCCAGGTCAATGGAGAAACAATATTCCATCTACAGCACTATTACTTCTAACGGCCATTCCGCGCAGAGGTACTGTTAGTGCTAAAGATATTCGCCTACATTTAGCAACACATTTTGTAACAAACGGAATAATTCCATGGCAGCATCAATATTAATGTTCAACTAATTTTGAAAATAAACATAAATAAAGGACTTAAGATATCTATTCCGCCTTCTTTTGTAATTCCTGTGTCATCTTTATTTGACATAAAGTCAAAATATTTGAAACCAAACCACTTCGATATATAAATTTCGTCAGCGCCTGTAACAAATATGTAGATGTTATAGGTTATTTTTCGTTTCCTATGGTGTGTCCTATAGTAAATGTTGTACATATTGATATTTGATAATGAGATTAACTAATCTAACATTCACTATAATTAAATAAAAGAATCCTTACCTGAACCAGTGATATTACTTCTTCTCTGCTTTGACTTTTCGCGTCGGTATGAACCTGCCAATGAGTCAAGTTTCTTTTTCAACTCGGGTATAGGTAACTTCATTTCCTTAGAGATCTTCCTCTAGCAATCTTCTCGCTTGCTTTTATTTAAATGATCTGGATCTTTCGAATCCCATAACATTTTGAAGCTTCAGTAAAGTTGTATTAAACGAATACTGTCTTCTTTATCCATTTTTGATTCACTGGCTCGCGAGTGTCGTTACGGCCAACCGAGCCAACGTGTGCCCGAGCGCCGTTCACACCGGCCGAACTATTGGCTCGAGAGCCGCGCTCAGCCGGTCTGGACGCGGCTATTGCTTAACACAATATTATTTTATTGACGGGTGCTTTTAGCACGGTAATTTTATCTATACAGTATTGTAACTCCGCCGTATCTTTAAAATAAATGCCTACAGCCGTGCGGTACGTATACATGCAATAGGGCTGCCTGCCTTTGCATTTGCCTTACAGGATTACATTTGCCTACTTTGTGTCTTCATTTAGTTTTGTGATTGTAAATATACTTTTTTATATAAACATATAAAATAGGTACTTTGTGGATTGAACAGGAAGTGTTTTTTGATTGGTAGATTTAATTAAAAAACCATGTTTATGTTTGAATAACATATCGGTCTTATAAATTTGCGACCGAAAAATATTTGCACCTCGGCTGAGACGTACGAATTGCTTTATTATTAAATTTTTAAGTTTAAAAAAACCGCATTCTAATATAAATCTTAATTAGAAATTGTTTTGGGATACATGGACAAGGAGAAAAGAAATATCTTTTACTTGGTTATAGATACCAGCAGCTACTTTATAATTTATATAAAGTAAAAAAAAATATGTTTGGTTTTAAATGAAGTTCGGAATATTTCCTCCATTTTTTTAATATATTGCACAAAATCATCACTGCGGCAGTCACGACTGTCTGCATGCCGAGCGCATGCCGAGATCGAGGCGCGTAGGCATAGCTCTCGCTTCGTCCGTTTGTATGAAGTTGGAATACTGTATAGATAAAATTACCGTGCTTTTAGTGTTCTACCACGTTACAGCTATGCTATATATGTATTTGTTGAAGCGCCTGTCAAATTATATTAGCAGTTCTAATGCCAATATTAGTTCGTAAGCCGTGTAGGTTTTATATATATATATATATATATATATATTTATATATATATATATAGCCGTTATGTTTTTAAAACAAAATGTAGTTGTATCTGTCATCGTTGTAAAAAATTAGAAATAAAAAAGGTCGATTAAGCAAATTACTGCATTTTATTATTAAAAGGAGATCATATTCCTATTCATGGTCCTAAATCGAAGCCGGATTTGAAAAAAACGTAATTGGACAAGATATTATTTAGTGGAATACGCTTGGGAAGTCTTAAATATTCATTGTGGAAATACCACCCAGGGAGTGAAGATAATCAAAGAAAGAAGAAATCTGGAGTCTTAGCCCCTTAGATATTGGACTATTATTTAATTTATTTAACCCAGCACTCATTATCAGGTAGTATTTTGTGTAAATCGACTGCTAATTTATCAGGTTAGTATCAAACAAATTACCTACAAAATAATTACGTATAACTTAAAGTATTTAATCAGCTAAAATTCATTTAATATTGTTTTATATAGTTTCTAATAACCGTCAACTCATAATTAAATTAAGTTATAAAACTTAGTTAAATTATATTGACGATATTATAATTTTTTTCTTTATTGGGTTTAAACTATCAAAATAAGTAAGGGAATCAGTTTTCATTTCTTTATAACTGTAAACAAAATTGTATAAAACTACTTATGAATTATATTTTATAAAATATAAACTTCTTGTTTGTATAATTTATCAGGCATTTGCACTAGTCTCCCAATCCCAGCCAACATGCCAGAAGATAAGGAGCAAATTAGGAAACGAGCTAGCTACAAGGGACAAATAACTGCTTTTTCAAATTATTTAAATTCACTGAAGGTATCTTCATTGGCTGCTACTGAGGTAAATGAGTTGCAATTACGTATTAGTAGGATTGAGTCAATGTATGAACGATATGATGAGGTACAATTATCCATCGAGTGTAATACTGATAACATAGACGCCCAGATATCAGAACGAACTGAATTTGAATCCCTTCATTTTAAATCGCTTTCTCTTGCAAAAAGAATCTTAGCAGATTGCATTAAGTCAGATGACGCAAACAGTGACGGTGGCTCTCATTCCGGCAATCATAAATTTGTTAAACTGCCCACTATTCAACTACCTAAATTTAATGGTTCTTATGATAATTGGTTAGAGTTTCATGACACGTTCATGAGCCTCATACATTCAAATGACGAGATAGATGACATAAATAAGTTTCACTATCTGAGAGCGTCGTTGGAAGGGCCCGCTGCTGTGGTAATACAGTCAATCGAATTCTCGGCAGCTAATTACACCGCCGCATGGACTATATTATGTGATAGATATGATAATAAAAGACTACTAATCACTACTAAAAATCATGTGACAGCCTTATTCAATATAGCACCAATTAATAAAGAATTGTCTGTCAACTTAAAACGTCTCATTGATCAAATAAATAAAAATTTACGTGCATTAGAATCCCTCGGTGAGCCAACTAAACATTGGGACGTACTTCTCATTCATATTATTACTCAAAAATTAGATGCTAAGACATATCGTGAATGGGAAGAGTCTAAAGGTCGTTTGGAGAAAGATACACCTATTACGTTCGATATATTTTTGATGTTTTTAAAAAAATCGAGCCGATTTAATCGAAACACTAGAAATGTCTCATTCTTCTGCTACTAACCGTTTAAATTCTTCTATAAAATATGCTCCAAAAGTTAAGGCAATGCTTTCAGTTCGGGATACCGGTAATAAAAACGGTTCGGCTTTTTCCGCCAAACTGTGCCCTAAATGTAAGGGTGACCATAAGTTAAGCAGTTGTCCTCAGTTTCTCGGATTAAGTAACGATGCGCGTCTACAGTTACTGCCAGACTATAAAGTATGTTTCAATTGTCTTAATTCAGGACATTATGCAAATCACTGCAAAAAGCCAGGATGCAAAATATGCCACCGAAAGATAACACTCTCGTGCACGTCGCAGATTACCAGTCAAAACCAATTACAGATATTAATACATCTAACAAGAGTAGTGGTAATAATAAGCCTGTTATGCAAGGTCATTTCGAACAAACAAACACTTCGACGGGCTTACAGTCGTCATCCAATTCTAACGCACATTTGTCATTGTCCGCAAAGGTAGGCACTGCATCGTGTAGTGAACGAGGCGACGTATTTATTTAACACGTTCATGCACGCATACCATAATAGTAAACTTATAGGCCGCGGCGCATGATTACTCCATATAAAGTTTGAGGACGTCCATACTCGTATCGCCGTATCACAAACAAAATATTGCATATGACTTGTCGGTAACGTTAGTAAGCGTTGACGTTCAAGGACGCACCGGTATATTGCTAAACTCATTATCTATCAAAGGGGCAACAACGTTTAGGTACGTCTACGTTACCAGCCGTTCTGTTCCGATTTGTGTGTATTTTAGACCTTACAGATTACAAGAACGTCGTTAAACGTCAATGTCGGTACACGTTCTGCTTTCATCTCTAGACAAGATCCCTACACTATATTCAACAACGTTTAATAACGTCAACGTTGGGACACGTTATGCTTTAATCTCTAGTCAAGATTTCTACACTATATTGAACAACGTTTAACAACGTTAACGTTGGGACACGTTCTGCTATAATCTCTAGACAAGATTTCTACACTATATTGAACAACGTTTAACAACGTCAACGTTGGGACACGTTCTGCTTTAATCTCTAGACAAGATTTCTACACTATATTGAAAAACGTTAAACAACGTCAACGTTTACAGCCGTTCTGTTACTAGTTGTTAAATATTGATACCATGATAAGAAAGCAGCGTCAATGCACGTTGACGTTCATAACTGTTGTTCCACAAATATCTAGTAGAACTTAAAGTTTTGGGAAACAACGTTTAATTACTCCAACATTACTTGACGGTCTGATCATAAATCGACTATACGAGTAAATTATCTGTCGCTCATCGTTTCCTGACGTTGACTTTGATTTATAAAAATAAAATAATAAACAGGATTTGATATGGAATAATACTCAATAATCATCAGTTTTTTGTTATATATTTTTAGAAAATCAACTATTTTTCAAAAATTACCTACATATCACATTTTGTGTCAATATCTACCCTCTTCTCGACTTAATTGAAAATAATTTAGGTGCAATTGTCCATAAATTTCTTCCAAGTTTTAGTTTAATAAAATTTTCTTTTACTTCCTATCCTATGTGTGAGTAACTTTTTTCAAATTTTACGCTATTATCACATATCGATCAAATAATACTATGGTAAGTTTGGTTTATCCCATAGAAGTAACGAATTATTTCTCAAAATAAACAGTTTCTCACTACTAACTTATCAATAAATTACCACTATAGCACAATAACAATCAGTCTTACACAGTTTTGGTGTAACATTGGTAGCAAAAAATTATAAAAATTATAAATACTCACTTACTTTTACCTACCTATCATATGAATGAGTAACCTTTTAACATTTTACGCTACTATCACAAAATCAAATAATACTCTGGTAAGTTAGGTATTTTCTATAAAAGTAACAAATTATTTCACAAAATTAACAGTTGCCTGCTTCTATCTTATCAATAGATTACCAGTATAGCACAATAATATTCAGTCTTACACAGTTTAGCAGATTTAGTATAACAATCGTAGCAATAAATTATAAAACTTCTAAATACTCATATGCATGATACAGTTATACTTATTTGATATCACTCTCATAAAAAGGAACAAAATAGGTAAAAAAGCATTATACTTCTTTGTGCCACTCTTCGAAGCAAAGAGCACACAGTGCTGGCTTTTCAGGGTAACCTTTACATCTCAGGCAAGTCTCCCTTCTCACCTTTTTTTTCGTGCACATCTTGCATTTCAAGTACTTTGATGTTTTGTTTGAACCCTCTTGCACGGGTATTTTCTCAGGCCAGTGACCATGGACTCTTGAGCTTCCGACGTCGTCGTCAATGGTACTGACTGGAAGTGGCAATAAATTAGCTCTGATTCTGTTGTCATATTTGCTGCTAGCTAAAATCACTTGCTCTGCTGTTAAATCTGCTGGTAAGTCCAACAGTCTTCGAATCAATTCCTCTCGGAAAAGCAAGAAATCACAATAGGCTTGGCAGTATTTTTTTGAAAATAAAAAATGAGTTCCATACTGCGACATCCAACAAGTGGAACATCACTTTTTTATACCACCGGATTGATTTCCTTGGTGAGGAGTAATATGAGATCATTTGATCTGCTCTATCAACTCCGGACATGTGTTGATTGTATTCTGCCACTTCTGCGGGTTTAATTTTTCTTTGTTGAAATCTGTTTTGTATTTCTATAAGCCGAGGATGAACTGAATTTGTTACCATAAGAACTGGTCGCTAACATAGACCTTATTTTTTCGTACCCACACATGTTGATTCTTCTTGAGTTTTTTCTTAATGATGTCTTTGGGATTATCTTTTCTGTTTGAACGTAAGGTACCTGTGGTGTGAGTTTTTAAGTCAACTAGCTTTTGCGAAAGTGTTACGGAATTGTAATAATTATCCATGTATAATTGATGTCCCTTCAGCAAATATGGCCTCATGAGACGAAGGACGATCTTTTCAGATTTTTTTGCCAGTTCGAGCAGTTGTGTCTTTTCCGGAGTACATCATTATATTTAAAACATAGCCATCAGAAGTTGTCAACTCGAAGAATTTGATTCCGTAACGTACTTTTTTGCTCTTTATATATTGTCTGAAGGCAAGGCGGCCTCTAAATAAAAGCAAAGATTCATCCAAACTTAACTGTTTGTATGGCTTATAGCACTCCATGAAGCTCTTGGTAATAGCATTAATAAATTTTTCAATTTTATCTTTTCCTTTTGAATCTAAATCTGATACATAAATATATCTCAAGATTTGCTCAAATCTTCGAGCGGACATCACATAGTGAAAAATTGGGTGATAATACAGTGGGTCGGAATACGTAAAATTTTTGCGTTTTTTGAGGAATTTTGATTTGACCCATAAGCAAACATAATCCAAAAAATTTCAAGATTTCTTCCCGGTTTGTGTCCCTAAAGTTATAGCTACGTGAGTTTCGAGTAGTAGGTCTTGTTTTCTCGCATAGTGCTCGCCCGTACGTATTAGTACATGTTACAATATAGTCTACAATATTAGGATTAAGAATTTTATCAAATATTTCCATAACTGTCATAGCTGGGTTGACTTCAAACTGGACACCTGCTGAACTTTCATCAAACTCGAACGAAGGTATGTCTGTGTTCGTGTGTTCCCAATCATAATTTATCAGTGGAGGAGTGCTTGGTCTGCAATTGGTCGCTGGACTTATCTCGGGGAGTGTGTCAGGCACGGAGTTTCTTTCGGCGGCCTCTGGGTCCAGCACATGACAGATAGAAGGGTTGCGTTGTACAAATGCTTCCCGATCCAAAGCAGATGGACTGGTAGGCGCAGAATTCGTTTCGGCAGCATCTCGTTCCGGCACAGGAGAGCCGGACAAGCCACGCTCTGCAACTACCTCCAGTGCAAGTGTGCTGGCCGGAGTTGGATATCTTACAGTAGCGTTTAGTTCTGGTGGTGCAGAAGAGCTAGGTGAGCGGCACTGCGTAGTTGCGTCCCAGTCCAGGGCAGGAAGGTTGGCTGGCGCGGGATTTTCCTCAGCAGCCTCCCGATCTGATGCAGACGAGCTAGGAGAGCGGCACTGCGTAGCTGCGTCCAGGTCCAGAGCAGGTAGGTTGGAAGGCGTGGGATTTTCCTCAGCAGCCGTTGGATCCGATACAGGAGCCAGGAGTGCGGCGCTGCTCAACTGCGTCCAGATCCAGGGCCGATAAGTTGGCAGGCGCGGGATTTCTTTCAGCAGCTGCTGGATCCGGTGCAGGAGAGCCAGGAGAGCAGCGCTGCGCAGTTGCGTCCAGGTACAGGGCAGATAATTTGACAGGCGCGGGATTTCCCTCAACAGCCTCCCGATTCAGTGCAGGAGAGCTAGGAGAGCGCTGCTGCGCAGCTGCATCTAGGTCCAATGCAGGTAGGTTGTCATGTGCGGGATTTCCCTCAGCAGCTGCTGGATCCGGTGCAGGAGAACCAGGAGAGTGGCGCTGCGCAGCTGCGTCTAGGTACAGCGCAGGTAGGTTGTCAGGCGCGGGATTTCTCTCAGCAGCTGCTGAATCCGGTGCAGGAGAGCCAGGATAGCGGCGCTGTGCAGCTGCATCCAGGTACAGGGCAGATACGTTGACAGGCGCGGGATTTCCCTCAACAGCCTCCCGTTCCAGTGCAGGAGAGCTAGGAGAGCGGTGCTGCACAGCTACATCCAGGTCCAAGGCAGGTAGGTTGTCATGCGCGGGATTTCCCTCAGCAGCTGCTGGATCCGGTGCAGGAGAACCAGGAGAGTGGCGCTGCGCAGCTGCGTCTAGTTCCAGTTCACGTAGGTTGGCAGGCGCGGGATTAACCTCAGCAGCTGCAGCAGCATGGTCGTCTTCAGCACCTTGAATTTGTGGATTAGTATGGGAGTGACTTCCTTCGATATGTGAATAAATTGAGATATTTACTAATACTGCAGGATCGAGTTGCACTGAAGAGCTTTCAAGATTTTCTATATTATTTAGCAATGCCTCAGAATCTAACGACATAGTGTCGGTACTCTGATCTGCACTGGCGATCTTAGGTTTTTTGTATCTTGATCCTAAAGAGGAACTCTGCCCCTTCTTTTTTCTCTTTCTACTGTCAAAAATACTCTCATCACTAGATTCTGCCGATATCGAATTTGTATCATCCTCGTTGTCATCGCTATCACATACATCCGTGCACTCGCTAAAGCCTTCGGTTCGATCGTCAGAATCAGAGCTGCTACTTACACTGCTTTCAGAGTTGCGTTTACCATGTGACCTCGTTGCGTTGTCCTTGGAACGGTTCTTTAGTTGTTTCTTTTCACGTTGCTTTGTGTGATCACTAACAGTGCTAGTGCTGTCTGTATTATCATCATATCCTGGATCATAGTCGTTATTGGAACCATACTCTCCATCATCACTAAATGGGTCTGGTGTAGATAGCCTTGATGAAGAATCATATTGAAACAACTTCATGGAAGCATTATTACTAATTTGGCGTGATTTTTCCACCTACAACAAAAAACATAGCTATCATCTTATTCAGGACACAAAATTAGAACATATGCGTACATTTGAGATTTTTTTCAGAAAAAAAACTAAAAATATAACTTACGGAATGAGTTTTCCTTGACATCCCACTTGGTCCAGCTTCACATTTTTCTTTGCAACCTACTTCAATTACTTTTTTCTTAGATGGCTTCTTCTGGCCTCTTTTTCTATTTCCCATCTATAAAATTCAAAAATTGCAGCATATATACTATAATGCACTCATAACAACTATCACTATATCCTACAAAACTATAGAAAACGAAAAAAATAACTTACGATTACTTCCTCAAATGCACGGCCTGCGAGGGTTTTGTATCGTAAAACGTGGGTCACTGTACCGGCGCGCAAGCAGACTGGCAGTATGGCGACTCTAACCAAAAACGACGTTTGTCGACGTTGTTCATGTGTGTGTAGGTACCTATCAATGTGTGTGTGACTTATGTTCAAGTAAGAAAAAAAACTAATGTATTGTAGCGCTAGAACTTTGAAAATTTCACACGATGCGGCGCAATGACGTAGCTACCTAAAGATTATACAGAGATTTGACGTTACTAGCCGTTGTGCTTGGAAATTAAAATTTTCTTAGGACGTGATTAGACTATGTGCGTCATCGCGAAGACATCAAATTGGACGTTCTGTGACGTTGTTAGAACGAAAGTGTTAAGCATTAATTAAAGTTATAGGTAAGAATGGTTGTCCATATATTGCTCGTGCTATTCTTGATAGTGGCAGTAACGCTTGTTTAATAACTGAAGAGTTATATCAAAGGCTAGGTTTGCTCGCTCTAAATGTAAATCAGTCGGTAGTCGGTATTAATAATGCTTCGGCACACATCAAGAAGATTTGTAAGGTATCGATAAAATCATTGAATGATAACTTCTCTAGTAATCTTCATTGTTTTGTCCTACCATCAATAACCGAAAATGTACCCACTAGATATGTTAATTTGTCAAACTTAAAAATTCCATCTAATATTTCTCTGGCAGATCCTAATTTTCACTCACCTGCTCCCGTTGACATGCTTATAGGTGCTGACGTCTTTTGGGACTTAATAGGAACGCAGAGATTAAAATTAGGGGGACGGTCAGCCGATTCTTTGTGAAACTAGCTTAGGATGGTTAGTATCGGGTCCGATTGATTATAGATATGTAAAGAAGGGGGTCAACTCTATTAAATGTAATTTTACAAGAATCTTTCAAGATGAGGCTAGTAAGGATTTAGATGAAGATATACAAAAACAGTTAGTACGCTTCTGGCACTTCGAAGAGGTAAGCCCTGCGCCTCACTATTCAAACGAAGAAAAATTATGCGAAGAACATTTTTTTAAAAAAACACCACGCGACTGGCAAATGGTCGATTTTGCGTGAGGATACCCTTGAAACATAATCCTGACGTATTAGGTGATTCTTGGCCACGAGCTAATAGCAGGTCAGTCTCAGCTCTATGAAATGTATAAAGAATTTATGTCAGAGTATGAAAGTCTGGGTCATATGGAGAAATGTGAGAATGATAATTTACTACGTAAGATGCATTTTATACCACATCACGGTGTGCTGCGGGAAAGTAGTACTACTACTAAATTAAGAGTCGTTTTCGATGCTAGCAGTCAGACTTCTTCTGGTGTTTCATTGAATAATATACTGATGGTAGGTCCCGTGGTACAGGACGACCTTTTGTCCATTCTTTTACGCTTTCGGCTACACAAATACGTTTTCATAGCTGATGTTGAGAAAATGTACCGGCAAATAGTCATTCATCCCGATGATCGCTATTTGCAACAAATTGTCTGGCGTGATAACCCTTCAGAACAGCTTCAAGCTTATCAACTTAACACCGTGACTTACGGCACCTCTAGTGCTCCCTTTTTGGCAACTAGGTGTCTCCAACAACTAGGCTTAGAGTGTACCGATGACAAGGGTGCTCAAGTGATCATTCACGATTTTTACGTTGATGACTTGCTAACGGGAGGGGATGATATTAACGAGGTAACAGATTTGCGCCGTAAAGTGACTTCCTAACTTGCATCAGCTCATATGGTTTTGCGAAAGTGGAAGTCGAATGAATCTCAACTGGTTAGTGAAAATGATATTTCTTCGCTTGATTTAAATATTGGTGGCTTTGAACCGACTAAAACTTTAGGCCTTGGTTGGCAATCACATACTGACCAACTTTGTTTCCCTATAGGAGGGTTATTCTCAGGTAAAACAAAGCGTGACATGTTATCTGTGATTTCACAGATTTTTGATCCACTAGGACTTCTATCTCCCTGTGTAATTAAGATGAAGATGCTTCTTCAACAGTTGTGGCTGCTCAAGCTGTCGTGGGATGAGCAGTTGACGCCAGAAATCAGCAAGATGTGGGCTGAGATAATAGTCGATTTACCTAAATTAAATACTCTACGTATTCCACGTCGTATTATTTGTGACTCACCTAGTTTGTTAGAATTTCATATTTTCTCAGACGCTTCCGAGCGTGCATATGGCGCCTGTTTATATGTGCGTAGCGTTAATGATCAGGGTGAGGTTTTAATTCAATTATTGATGGCGAAAAGTCGTGTCGCGCCGCTTATACCTATAACAATCCCAAGACTGGAACTTTGTGGTGCACTTGTTGGAGCTCGCCTTTACTAAAAGGTTGTAGCATAGCTGAGACAACAAGCTAAGCGCACTTTCTTTTGGACAGATTCGTCCATCGTGTTAGGATGGTTAAAGGTGTTACCTAGCAAGCTACAACCCTTTGTTAGAAATAGGGTTGCTGAAATATTAGAGAATACTGGAAATTGCGAGTGGAGGCATGTCCCAACAGAGTGTATCCAGCCGATCATATTTCTCGCGGTGTGAGTTGTAAGGATATTTCATCCATGAGTAAGTGGTGGACAGGACCTGAATTTTTAAAGAAAGAGGTCTCTCACTGGCTTGCAAATTTCTTAAGTATTAATCACGAGTTGCCTGAGATTAAATCGTCAAATGTTATCCTCCACGGAATACTTCATTCTAACAACAATGAAGATTTAGGCGGTAATAAATTAATTGAATTTAAACGCTTTTCTAAATATACTAGATTAAATCGGGCCGTTGCTTATGTGCTGCGTTTTATTAATAATTGTAGAAAGCAATCCGTTCACGGTCCTCTTAGCAATCAAGAGTTGCAAACCGCACTCAATGTTATTATAAGCGTATCTCAGAGTGAATCATTTGAGGAGTACACCATGTTAATTAAAAATAAAAGCTTACCCACTAAAAGTCCGTTACATAAATTTAATGTATTTCTCGATGATAATAAAATAATGCGTGTTGGAGGGAGTCTTGAAAATTCCGATTACTGTTATGAGAAAAAACATCCCATACTTATACAGTCCACTCATTATTTTACCAAATTGCTCTTCAATTATGAGCACATAAGGTTAATGCACGCAGGACCACAGCTAATGTTGGCCACTATAAGAGAGATGTACTGGACGATTAGAGGTCGTAATTTGGCCAGATCTTGTTATCGACAATGTGTAAGATGCAATAGAATGAAAGGAAAAAACCGGCCAAGATCGTGTCGGGCCACGCTCAGTGTAGGGTTCCGTAGTTTCCCGTCCGTCACAATAAGTGTTCCCACTTATGAGTTTAAAGGTGGGTATCCATTATGTTCGCGCTCCAGCAGCGCTCCGCGCTCCTGCAACTGCTCCCGGTTGTGGGTACTGTTGTTTCCATCCAAGTTCAAAATAATTTTCCTAGAAAGTCCTTATAAAGTTCTACTTTTCAGATTTTTTTTCATATTTTCTAAACTTATGGTTCAAAAGTTAGAGGGGGGGGGACACATTGTTTTTTACTTTTGGAGCGATTATTTCCGAAATTATTGACTTTAACAAAAAATGATTTTAGTAAACCCCTATTCATTTTTAAATACCTTTCCTACAATATATCACACGTTAGGGTTGAAATTAAAAAAAAATCACTTTCCACTTTACATATAGGGGGGCTACCCTAATAAAACATTTTTTTCCAATTTTTATTTTACCACTTTGTCGGCGTGATTGATAGTAGTTACGTTGTACCAGTTCTGGCGCACTTGTAGAAAGGTTGTACCAGTTCTGGCGCACGACGATCGTCGACTCACAATCCTAAAAAAAAAAAAAAAAAAAGGTTTTGGCATGCTCTGATCACGAATCTGCGGTCCATTTTTGCGTAGGATGCACGGTTCCGGAGATGTGCAGATCAATTAACTCTTATCTAATTGATATCCGCTACGAGCCTCAACCGTCATTAGCGCTCCATTGTCCTTATCTACTTATCTATTGTTGATTGACTACCGTCATTATCTATTATTCGTCCAGCGTGTGGGTCGGCTTATGCTATTGTATTATACTCCTTTGTTCCTATCTACAACACTAATCTGAATCATCAATAAAACACATTACCTAATTTTGTTAAAATTTTTATTTATAAAATACAAAATCTTATTACTTATTATCTATAAAATAGGAGCGAAACATCTCATCCACTAACATATCGTTGTACAATGTGTTCTCTGTAAATATACTCGTAAAACTATGCATTGAACATCCCTGAAACTTATATAGCAAATACATTAAGCAATATTCGCCACAAACTGAAGTCCTATAAACATTCCAGTTCCATCTTTTAAACACATTACCTAATTTTGTTAAAATTTTTATTTATAAAATACAAAATCTTATTACTTATTATCTATAAAATAGGAGCGAAACATCTCATCCACTAACATATCGTTGTACAATGTGTTCTCTGTAAATATACTCGTAAAACTATGCATTGAACATCCCTGAAACTTATATAGCAAATACATTAAGCAATATTCGCCACAAACTGAAGTCCTATCAACATTCCAGTTCCATCTTTTAAACACATTACCTAATTTTGTTAAAATTTTTATTTATAAAATACAAAATCTTATTACTTATTATCTATAAAATAGGAGCGAAACATCTCATCCACTAACATATCGTTGTACAATGTGTTCTCTGTAAATATACTCGTAAAACTATGCATTGAACATCCCTGAAACTTATATAGCAAATACATTAAGCAATATTCGCCACAAACTGAAGTCCTATCAACATTCCAGTTCCATCTTTTACAATTTCGTACAGGTGCCCGTCCATATGAATCAAAATATTCACCGACGTCATTCGTATCGATATATAAAGCT